CACACATCTGGCCATTCAGCTTCTCTTAGAGCTGATAATCAGCAAATGGTCAAGGAAGGTGGCTCAGGGCACATAGGGGAGCTTCAGTGACCCCACAGAGACTGTTCCTTTCTACTCGTGTACATGACTAGCAGTCTGGCTTCCTAAGGAGCCCAAGGAAGAGGTAAGACGGCAAATTTAGGATATGGTCCTGAAATGTGAGGAGGGATGGTCTGCAGTGTTTCCTAATGAGAAAGAGGAAAAAACCCAAAAAGTAGGCATGAATTTCTCTGCGTGCAAGGTCAAAATGCTTCAGTAACTCCTTAACACATCACCTTGTGATTGCAGGCAGTATTGTTGTAAACAGTGACCCCACATCCCTGGGAAAAACTAAAGTTATGGCCAGCCTTCTCTGTAATGAAGATGTGTGACTTTCCATCCACAGTCATTGCAAATAGAGTAAGTTTTGGTCCTCATGGTCAACTGTTTGGGTAGTAAGCCTTCCACATTTATTGCTTCATCTTTTCATTCCATTAAAACGTCATATGGGGTCTCTTGGGTATGTCACATGGGTCTCCTCAGAGCGGTGGGGTTGAGGCACACCTGTTCAAATGGAGGACCGGTGCAGTTTATTTGGGTTACCAGTCCAAACACAGGAGACTCACCTTCTCAGGAGCTGATCGATTGAATGATTGATGCCTAGTAAGCCTTCCCAAGTCTTCTGGCTGGACTTAACCTTCTTTTTTTTTAAGTTGAAGTATTTATTTTGAGAGAGGAAGAGAGTGCAAGCAGGGGAGGGAGAGAGAGGGAGAGAGGGGACAGGATCTGAAGCAGGTTCTGTGCAGACAGCAGACAGCCCGATGTGGGGCTCAAACTCACAAGCTGTGAGATCATGACCTGAGCCGAAGATGGATGCTTAACTGCTTATCCGTCTGAGCCACCCAGGCGCCCCCGGACTTAAACCTTCTTTAACTGTCAATGTTTAATGGCAGTGTGGTTTTCCCACTTTAATACCTGAATATTTGACTTTGCATTTTGTATTGGGGAAACTTGCTACATTTCTCCTCATCACTGGGAAATAACCAAAACGGTACTAGTGTGTATCCTATTTTATGTTTTGCATCTGTGGTTTTCATTTTTCTTAAAGTCCCCTTCTTGCCTTTTCGCTTATCCTTCAGTCTGTGATGCTAAATTGTATTCCGTCATAATGTTAAGGGACAACTTGGACGTGGTTTCCTTTCTAAATAGCTGAGCATTATCTTTTTTTTTTTTTTAATGTTTATTTATTTTTGACAGAGAGAGAGAGAGAGAGACAGAGCATGAGCGGGGGAGGGGCAGAGAGGGAGACACAGAATCTGAAGTAGGCTCCAGGCTCTGAGCTGTCAGCACAGAGCCCAAGGCAGGGCTCGAACTCACAGACCTCGAGATCATGACCTGAGCCACCCAGGTGCCCGGGCATTATCTTGCTTAGAGATAACTTAGTGATTATTTCCATATATCTCTTGCATTTCAGGCAAATGAAACTCTCCTACGTATGTGTATGGAGCCTAGAAATGGGAATTTAAATATTGCTGGCTCTGTGTACCACCTCACCTCGATGAATCTCTTACCTAATATTCCACTCAGGATAAAGTCTGGTTTATCTCTGCTAAAACTCAGAGATTAGAAAACAGACGTCGGCTTTTAGCAAGCCAGTGGCCTAGGAAAAAAGAGGATCGATCAGCAGCTTTGGTTATGGAGAAGGGAGACTCTGTGCCAGGGTTCACAGTGGCTTTCTATGCATTATATTCATCCTTCCATTTTCCTCCATGATTAACAGTGTGGTTGAGTTTAGACAGTAGGAGTGTCTGATGTTTATAAATTCTCACTGATTGCCATCTGAGTGATGGTCGTATAGTTGACTTTATTTTATGTGCAGTTCCTCCTGCCTTCCCCTCCCCTGCTCCCCTCCGCAGTCTGCAATAACCACTATACATCTGTGAGGTAGACAATCCATTGTAGTAGGGGGGAAGAAGAAAAAAAAAAGGATTCAGGCATCTTTTTTTCTTTATAGAATAGTTGCATTACCAGAATTGTCTGTACAGTTTTCAAAAGCAAATGCCACTTACCTCTTTTTGCCGGTGGACTTGGGTTTCTTCGGGTGTTTTTGCAACTCTGGGCTCCCATCCTACATCTGTCTATAAAACCCGTGTGGGCCTCAGGTCTCTCCCCTAATCCCAGAGTTTGCAGGGCCTAGAGTTTAACTCCATAATTTGGAAGTGACATCTGTGCTTAAGAGTGTTACCTGGCAAGACAGGATTGCTATGTCCTGTTAATAGCGAGTCCCATTGTGTAACATGGCACCAACCAGGAGCTTTCTTCCGTTGCAACTGTCACTGTAAGATATAATGTTGGTGTTGAGATATTCTTTGGTATTAGGGCCAGCGGGCCAGGAACACTTGAATTTTGTGTCGGATTACAACTGTCTCCTGCTAGCCAGTGCCTGCAGTTATCCCCAAGAGACAGTGACAAATAGGAATAAAATAGCACTGGTGAATTGGATTTGAGTCTCAACCCCAAATACTGAAAATCAGGCAGCTGGGTTGGACCAGTGGAGCATAAATAGCTTTAGCCCAAAGCAGGTCCTGACTAAGGACCTCAGTCCTGGCCCCCCTCCTCCTAGCCCCCCATCATCATTTACTGTTCTCTGGCCTAGTGGCGGGACCTCCAGGCTGCAGGGACCTACCGGCAGGCCCTGAAGTTGGTTTGCTCCTGCTGCCTCATTGGGTGAGAAAAAAGGTGCAGGTTCCATCCTTGTGCTCGTGTGTGACATGACTGGGGACTGCTTGCGTGGCAAACGGCTTTGGCCCCTCACTGCTTTAGCAGGGAAGGGAGAGAAGACAGAGCCATAATCTGTGCCAGCAAGTGCCTTGGAACTCTTCCTGGGGAGGAGTGAAGAAAAGAAAGAGGAGAGTGCTTCTTCACCCCAGAGGCTTCATAGTCAGACCCTTGATGTAAATTACTGCCCTGTTTATCCAGCCTGCAGTTCGGAAGAAACGTGAAGTAAAACATTCCACTTAAGAAACAAGCCTGTGTAATATCAGCAGTCTGGAGAAAGTAGCTGGCCTTTCTTCATGCACTAGTAGGATTAAGTATATTAGGAATACAATTGACATGGACATCAGTTCTCCATCGTTCGACCTACTCAAATGGTGATGTCATGACAGTGTCAATGGGATTACCTTAGTTAATTTTATTGAGCAAGAATCTGTTTCCTTCATCAGGATAAACTATTGGGCTTTAGGTTTTGTACCTTTATTTGCTTAGGAACTGAGTAATTGCCTCATAAAACAGCATGATGGTACTATTAACACTGAATTATAAGACCTGTTATTATAGAATGTGCTTCCTTAGTTGGGACAAGACTTCGTTGTTTGGTGCTTAAAATAATTAGTTTCTCCAAATGGGGTTATAATGAATAGTGTAAAATTTTACCTATTTAAAATAAAAAAGTTTACAATCTCTTGGGTGGCTTTTATGCATCATTTGATACTTCCAGAGAAGGATTTTCTTTGGGTGGGATTGTGGGAGAGGGAAGTATATTTAATGTTCAGAATGGAGGGGTTTAAGAATGAGAAAAATATTTGTTTTCTGTCCTACGCATCTGGGACAGATTTGAGACAGCCATTAAAGGATTTGTCCCACAGTTTTGCCTGGTTTGGACATTGAGTATTAAAGTGTTCATTGATCAAATATCCTTGCATTTGATATTTGGGAGGACTTTATTATGAATGACAAAAAGTTTATGTGGCTTTATTTCTGAATGGACTTAAATGCATGTATTTGTTGTCTCTTCCTTGCACATGCTATTAAGCTTTTTGTGCCATAAATTTTTAGGCATAAGTGAAGGATGTTTAAATACTTCTGAAAGAACAAATTATAATTCTGTATAGGAATTTGTTATTGTTTTTCCGACTATTTTATTGGAAAGCTAATTATTGGTACCAAGTACCATTTTGGAATGAGAGTGCACTTTGTACTGTTTTGAATACTTGTTTGAAAATCATTTATTCCGTGAAGCAAGGTAGTCTGCCTTTCAGCCCTACACTGCACAAGGTGCCTTGGGTTCTGGCTGGGATATGGGGAAGTTCAAGATCTCCACAGCGATAAAGATATAAATACACAGCAGGTTAAATTCAATTCAAGGAAATGACGAGAGAGAGATAATTAGAACATGATTAATTACCAAATTAATGGCAAGGTCAGAAATTGTAACAATTGCAGTATAACCTTTGTTAACTTGCTTGGATTAACTGCTTATGAACAGTATTTTGATCTTAATGAAAGGGAACACCTGTTTTTATAGGTCATCCTCTTTGGCCTTGTTTTCTGTAATTAAAGATAATGATACCACCAGTTTTTGTTTGACACTTGACCTTCTCACAGTTTTGTCTAGTTTTAGATCCAAAAAGATCCCTGGGGCAGGGTAGTTGCTATTATTCATATATTTTAAAAAATTATAACTAAAAGACGAAGTCTAGGTCCAGGAGGTTATGTTCACATAGCTGCTTGGAAACTCAAGTCTGTGGTCTCCTAGTTTAGGCTGTTTTCTTGCTTTTGCTTTACCCTTCTTGGGGACTGACACAATTATGCAGTGCTCTAGGGGCGTCTGGGTGGCTCAGTCAGTTGAGCGTCCAACTTTGGCTCAGGTCATGATCTCACAGTTCATGGGTTTGAGCCCCACGTCGGGCTCTGGGCTGAGAGCTCAGAGCCTGGAGCCTACTTCAGATTCTGTGTCTCCCTCTCTCTCTGCCCCTTCCCTGTTGTGCTCTGTCTGTCTGTCTCTCTGTCTCTCTCTCAAAAACAAATACTAAAAAAAAATAATGCAGCACTCTGTGATTACAATGATTTGATTTTCAGCTGACTTCATCACAGTGCACTTAAATTGCTGACTTGTTAGAGATGACTTTTCGGGGTCCTGAGTCCTTTTTAAAAGATGGTGGTTCTTTTACAGGAAGCCAGTTGAGGGAAATTCTCCATGAATGTACGTCACAATGATGATGACCGACCAAATCCCTCTGGAACTGCCACCATTGCTGAACGGAGAGGTCGCCATGATGCCTCACTTGGTGAATGGAGATGCAGCCCAGCAGGTTGGTGCAGCAAGAGGGGAATTTAAGTACAGTTGTCTGAGTGCAAAACATTAGCTCATTGTTTTTGCTTGAGATTCAATATCTGTGATTTTGAACATTAATAGTTCCGGAGGTAGGCGGTGCTGTTGTAGAATTACTGTATGCTTTCAAAAAATATCCCATTGTGTTTTCTGAGAACAGCAAATCTGATCTCATTCAGTTAGTATTCCTGGTGAAGCGTCACAAAAATGTCTGATTTTGGAAGTGAATCATTTTGAAAATATGTACAAGTCTTTGGAATAAAATGTCTGTTTATCCATGTCCTATATTATGCTTGACTGGTTTGCCTGGTCGGCCAGAGCAGGACACTCAAAGGGAGGGTCAGGTTTTGATCTCACACAGGGACACAGGGCGTGAGTGACCTGGGCAAGATGCACAGGCCCATGTGAACCCACTCTGGCTCCTGGGGCCACCCTTCCATACATAGAGCCTGCTGCTCAGAAGATGATGGTACTTCTTTTCTGTAAAACTTCTTTGTCAGTATTATTGAATGCTACTGAGTAGAAAAGATGTTTCTGAACTCGTTCATGTAACGCTTGGGAAGAGAGAGATTTAAGTGGTAAGTAAAACTGTAAGGAAATTATTAGGTGAGCTGTTCTGATAACACATTGTTTTTATTGACCACAAAAACCGGGTCTGCTTAGTCTTCTATGAGATAAATAGCGTTTGTCTTTGTGCCGTTCTTTAGAAGCGTGAAAGTTTCTGTCTTAGGAAAAGTAGAATTGGGAACAATTGCTTGAAGAGTATTTACCCAAACTCTGTCAATGATTCAAGTGAGTTTTAGACAGCCATTCAGGTGATGGGAGTACATGCCCATTTCCCCTCCCCGCAATCTTTCCCAGTACAGGAACACCCTTTCTCCATCATAGCCCATTCATGCGGCATCTCTGCCTCTATTGGATCTTACTTTGCTGCCTCATTTATTTATATTACTTTCTTCTTCTTTAGACCGTGACCCTCTCAAGAGCAAAGAATATCTAATGGTGCTCAGTAAACGTTGGTTGGTTGAGTGAATTTCACCCCTTCTCACCTCTGATACAGGCATCTCCCCTCCTGACTCTTCAGTCTCTCTCTCTCGGTGCTGGATCATTGCCACTAATCACACCGTGGTGTCTTTTACCTCAAACGCACAAACAGCCACCCCGTTCCCCCACCCAACAAAGCCAGAGCCTCTCCCTTGACTCCACAGCCCCCTTCCCAGTTACCACCTCCTGTCTCGGCTCCCTCGTGGCAGGTCTCCTCTAAGCACAGCCTCGGCCCCCTTAGCTCCATTGCTCCTCAACCCCAACGTCTTCACTTGGACCTGCTACCCTCCTCTCCCCAGCCTGTCAGCAAGGCCTGTTGGCTTCATCTCAGGACCACTTGCTGAAACCATAATTTGCCACGTCCACTTCATTTCCGCTCCTACCACTGGACTCCAAGCCGACGTCTCTCACCAGGGAGGACAGTTCCTCTCACTGGTCTCTCTGCTTTTATTTTTGCCACAGAAGGTATTTGCCACACCACCCTCGTTGGAGAGAGTTGCTAAAAAACACATGCATCACGTCAGTGCCCTGCTCAGAGCTGTCCTGTGACACCCGGAATAAAATCCAAGTGAAGGGCCATGGCCTGGCAGCCTTCTGGCTTTAGTCCTTATGCTCTTCATCGTTCTCCCCCTGATCTGCTCACGGGAAGATCTCCAGAGTGCCATGAATTGTTCAAGGTGCAGTGTCTGGTCTCCCTTCTCACTAATTAAAAGGTTTAAAAAAACCCCAACGTGCTCAAATGCGACTCAACTTGGAACGCATCTTGGGACTCAGCGTCGTCACCTAGTTCCTGTTTGCACGTGTGTACCTGGGAGACCCAAGGCCACCTACTCATGCTGTTACTACTGTGCACCATTTATGTGTTTTGATGGTTCCTTCCTCATTGCTGTGATTCAGTCTGCACAGAACACCCTCTTGTAGTTTATGAAATCTAGCATACAGAGTTTTCTAATTCTTTCTTTAGAAGTAAACTTTTTTGTACCTAGAAACGAGCAGAGCCTGAAAAGACTATGACGTCCTCAGGCCATGCGGCATTTCACTGCTCTCTCTGTGTGTCTACCTCAGCTCCAAGTAGAAGCTGCTTCATAATTTTGGTGTATCAAGTCACATTTTTATTTTATTTTGTTAAAAAAAATTTTTTTAATGTTTATTTTTGAGACACACACACACACACACACACACACACACACACACACACAGAATTGAGTGGGGGAGGGGCAGAAGAGGGAGACCCAGAATCTGAAGCAGGCTCCAGGCTCATTTGCGAGAGCTCTCTCCTCACGGAAAGCCCTACTAATGCTTTTGAAGGCTTTTACTGCGCTGTCCCTCTGAAGCAACACTGTTTCATCTCAACGTGGACCTTTTGGAGACACAGGGCTGACTTCAGTGATGGACGTTGCAGGTGCTGCCTGGCAGGCCCTTGGGGGTGACATTTTGAGGGAGGCAGCCCTTGAGCCTCCTCTCCAATTCTACCATTCTAAAATGCTGCCCACTGGCCACGGGGCTGTGCCTCTGCATTTCTGCCGGGAGCGTGTATGGCGAGGCTTACCTTGTGTGTGTGTGTTTACAGCATTCTTAATACTTTGCAGCTGTGCGGAGGACATTCTAAACATTTCCGTATATGCAAAAGAACCACCGCAGTTATGAGAAAGCTCCTCAGTCCCCACAGGCCTCCTCCTCCTGAGTTTTGTACTGATGGTTTCTGGATTTAGTTAGTACAGGTCCTTGGCAAGATACGCGGCCCTACTCTGGCTCTCGAAATAAGAGACACTGTTAATTTTCATGATCCAAAGCTTGAAACTTTGGTCATTTTATAGAGGGAGCAGGAAAAAGACGATTCTTTTCTTAAAATGAAAAGCCACCCTCATGATTGAAGATGTAAGAAAACTATATATTACCAACTAAAAAACGAACAGGAACAATGGTAAACACGGAGTGTGGACCGAAGCGACTTAACAGCTTTGCTTATGTAACAGCTTCATTGAGATATAATCCACATGCCATGTAATTTGCTTATTTAAAGTACACAATTCACTGGAATTTGCTACAGTCACAGAATTGCACAACCATGACCACAATTTTAGAACCTTCTAATCATGATACAAAGAAACCCGGTTGCAGTCATTTCCCAGGCCTCTCTTCCCCATATTCCCAGGCGACCACTAATCTACCTTCTCTTTCTGTAGATAATTTGCCCATTCTGGACCTTTCATGTAAATGAACTCGTGCTATATGTAGCCCATTGTGGCTGGCTTCTTCCACCTAGGGTAACCTTTTCAAGGTTCATCTGTGTAGCGGCATGTATCGATACGTTATGCCTTTTTTACTGGCATCACGTGGATGTATTACATTTTGTTTATTCATCCATCAGTGGATGGACATTTGGGTCGTTTCCACTATTTGGCCATTATGAATAGTACTGCTGTGAACATTTGTGTGCAAATTTTTGTGTGGATGTATATTTTCATTTCTCTTGGATATCTACCTAGGATTGAAATGGGAGCAGCTTTATTTTGAACTGTTGTTTTCTAAATAAAGTATCTCTGTTTCTGTCACTATAATTTGTTCTACCTCTGAATAGATCAGCATAGCTAAATAAAGTTTGCTTCTTTTAATATGCCTGCCAGCATACTATTCTCGTGTTCTAAAAATCAGGTTTCCTGACCTGAGTTTTTGTGTATGAGCATATCAATTATAGTGAATGCCCATCAATAATCAGAATATTGGTGCAAACATTTTCAGAACCTATGGTATATAACCTAACTACCTTTGTTAGAGACTATTAGCATATTTTAGAGGTAGTGTAATAGCTAGTTTTAAGCACAAAAGAGTAAGCGTCAGCCCAATTTCCAACTTTTTCTATTGGTTTAATATTTTAATAATCTCTGAAGAATTACAGCAGTCAGTGGTGCCTAGGTGGCTCAGTCGGTTGAGCGCCCAACTTCGGCTCAGGTCATGATCTCACAGTTTGTGAGTTTGAGCCCTGTGTCGGGCTCTGTGCTGACAGCTCAGAGCCTGGAGCCTGTTTTGGATTCTGTGTCTCCCTCTCTTTCTCTGTCCCTCCACCACTCACACTCTTGTCTCTCTTGCTCTCAAAAATAAATAAACATTAAAAAAAAAAAAAGAATTACAGCAGTCACCAGGGTTTAAATAAGGAAACCATTAGGTTGAGAACAGAAGTGTTAACATAGAGTTTGCTGATTTGCTAACTTAATCTGTGACACTTGTAACCTAGAGGAGGGTGGAATGCCTCTTTATATCCTCGTGTTGTTGGTGACTCTTCTCATATATGTGTTCATGAAGGGGTCAGTGGGGATGGGTTAGATGCCCCTCTGTCCTACTGTTCTTTGAGGGAAAGTAGCAAATGTTTGGTAACCATGTTATATTTCTTTTGTCTTTCTCCACCCCGCCCCGCTTTAAGCTTGCACAGTATTAATTGCTAATGAGTGTTCTTACTGCCTCTTCTTCAGGAAGTAGATCTCCTTAAATGTAAACAGAAAACTTGTTTCTCCTTCCAGTTCAGGATAACCTGTAAACAGGCTTGCCCTGGAAGACAGGTTAAAGTACCTCAGCCGTGTCCGTAGTTCTCTTGACTTTGCCTGTTCCTTTTGATCAGCATTCACCATGTCATTTTATCAAGACTGAGTTCCCTGCCCCCCCTTTTGTTTCTTCTTTTTGAAAGCCTTTGTTTCCACTAGACAGAATACACAGCCAGAGATTTCCTGGAGCATTCTTTTGAGTACACATTTCCAGACAGCACGTTAAACATATTAAAACTTTCCACGTTCAGATGGTGCTCGTCATCGGCGTGTCTTTTACATCAAATGTGCTTTTCCTCCTAATCCAGTGACCCTTTCTGTTCTGGTTGATATCTTCTTAATAACTTTTCCTTGATGGCTTCCTTTCGTGCATTCAGTAGTTCAAATCCTCTCACCA